CACACACACACACACACACACACACACACACACACACACACACACACACACACATACACACACAGCAGGCTGCCGTGGACATAGGGCTTCCGTAAATACGACCGCAGAAGACTACACTTAATCTTCTATTAATGTCTTCGGCTCAAAATAAAGCAATCACAAACAATCACACGGCAGATCGCAACTATTACAATAAAACATTTCGAATCACCCGAACGCAATAACGCTGGCATAAGATAGACGACGCCGTTCGCATTTCTGCTGCCTCCAGCATGCTTCATTTCTCTTCGACTCGCGTACTTCCACTCAAAGCCTCCTGCTTGTATACATTATACCGTGGTTGTTCAATCACGGGCCTCGGGGCAATGTATGCCAGTCTTGGACAACGACTCAACAAAAGGCATCAGGCATACGATGCTATGCGCGGTGTTGGCGACTGTAGTCAGGATACCTGATCTCTATGTCCGTCTGCCAAATGTGAAACAACCATTACGATGATACGATTGTTTCATTACGATTATATGATTGTTTCATTTGGAGAATCCCTCACATACTCGCTCATCTTTCATTTGTTTTGTAAGAAGATGCGCTTGCGCCCCGCTGAGCTCGCATTTAGAAGGTTTGTATGTGTGGTTTAGGGCCAGGAAGCCATGCATTTGTCGGAAACAAGACTCATCGCATACACATTAGTCTTAACATCAGTATTTTTTCGTATACCGGACTTCTATACACTGCGTATATGAGAAACTCGAGACTTTACCATGTTTCCCTTAGCAGCTTACGAGATAAAAGTTAAGACTAAAGTTTAATGTTGTTTCTGACACCGGGCGCCTGGCTCTCATGGTTTCGGGACAAAATCTGGGCATTCCCCGCATGCCTCTCCCGCGTACGACTTGAACAGGCCTCTTTGACAGTCGGAAGGTCCAATATGGCGACCACTGCCAACTAGAGGCGCATGGCGGCCTCATGGCATCCCACGATTCCCACGATGCTCTATATGTAACTATTATTATTATTTCTAAAGTGGATCACGGCATTAGCCGGTGGCTTCTGAGTTGACCGTGTCCCAACCTGGGACATAGGGATTCAATCCACAATTCGCAGGATGTGTGCTGTTCCCAGTAGTGCGATTTTCTGCACTTCTTGGGCAGTGTGGTGGCCAGGGAGTTCCTTAAGGTTCTTCTCAAAACCATTCTTTATAGAGCCAAGCTCCAACCACCACTGGTTATTATTATTATAATATAATAATATATAATATTAATATATATATATATATATTATTATTATTATTATTATTATTATTGTTATTATTATTATTATTATTATTGAATATTATATATCAAAATGTAAAAATATTTGCCGTACCTCTCTCTATTCGGTTTGCTTATTTACTAATACGCACAGACGCGCATTGCAAGCTACCGCGCGATGGACGGATACGGACGAAAAGATGCCTAAGGGCGAACAAGCGCTAGTCCTAATAAAGCAGCAGGTACGATCTCCTGATTCACACTCATTCGCGCTGCATTGAGCGTAATACGAGGAAGAGTGAGGCGCGCATCTCGCATTACTCGCCTCTGCTGGGCAACACCACGTAATTACTTGCAATTATTACACGCAAGCAATTCGTGACGGACTACGACTACTCAGAATAGCTGTCATTTGTGTGCAGCGGGTGCCGTAGGCTGCAGCATCTTCCGCGATGCTATTCGAAATCAGAAATTGCGTAGCCGTACATAAAAGAATCTCAAAACTTCACAATTTCGTATAACAATCGTTTATAATACATCATTTCAAACATAGAGCACATCACAGACTGGGTTGATATATAAATGTATAAATAGAATGCTATATACGACAATAACACGGTGTTTTACACGGTGTATAAGCAATTGTGACAATATTAAGGCCATTCGTCAACTCAATTATTCGCAAGAAGGCGTACCGAGTAACTTCATACAGATGATATTACAAGCTACTCGGCACTAAATTACCTAACAATGTAAACAACTATAGCATGTACCAAACCACACGTAAATCAATTACGCGATGCGTAACCACGTTTATAAAGGAGGCTACGTAGCAACGTATATATCAGTTATAGAATACAAAAATCACGAAGTATATCCACTAGGTTACGTAACAACGTATATCAACTAGGTTACGTAACAACGTGTATCAACTAGGTTACGTAACAACGTGTATCAACTAGGTTACGTAACAACGTGTATCAACTAGGTTACGTAACAGCGTGTATCAACTATGTTACGTAACAACGGGAATCTACTGTGTTTAATAACCGGATCCGGATAATCGGCTTACGACGTGGTGCGGATCACGTGGTCAAACGTCTCCGATCACCATCATATCGTCAAAGTAATCAAAGTAGTAAATCTTTATCTCCCGTAACCCCCGGACTGCCCGTGGTTGTTGTTGTTGTTGTTGTTGTTATTGCCATAACCACCGCTACTGCCACCGCCAAAGCCACCACCACCAATGACGCCACCACCAATGACGCCACCACCAACTACGCCACCGCCAATGACGCCACCACCAACGACGCCACCGCCAAAGCCGCCGCCACCAACGACGCCACCGCCAAAGCCGCCGCCACCAACGACGCCACCGCCAAAGCCGCCGCCACCAACGACGCCACCGCCAAAGCTGCCGCCGCCAATGCTGCCGCCGCCAAAGCTGCCACCGCCAAAACTGCCGCCGCTTCCGCTGTTGCCGCTAGATCCGGTGTAGACGTTATTGACGTCAGCGAATCCCCAGACTGGTTGCTCGATGTCGTAGTTGTACAGGGTCTTCGGCTGAGTGTACTCATGTCCCTCTCTGCAATATGAAGAATAAGGGTAAACTCATGTACGCACGCACAAACGCAAGCGAGCGGACACGCACGCACGCACTCGCGCGCGAACGCGCGCACACACGCACACACACACACACACACACACACACACACACACACACACACGAAACATACATACACGCCAATGACTGTGAGTATGAATGGAATAGATAGATGGATGGATGGATGGTTGGTTGGAATGGCATGAATTTAGATGGTATATGATGGTGGATGTGATGGGTTGGATGGATAGATGGATACGATGATTGGATGGATGGATGGATAGATGGATGCTTAGAATGGATGGATGGATGGATGGTGTGGATGGAATGGATAGTGGATGGATGGTGTGATGGTGTGGATTGGATGGATGGACGATGATGGATGGATGTATGGTAGATGGATACCACAGAAGGTAGGGTAGGTGGACGATGATGGATGGATGTATGGTAGATGGATGGATGGAGGATGGACTGATGGATGGGATGGAATGGGGGATGGATGAATGGATGGAATGGATGGATGGATGGATGGATGGATGATGATGGATGTGTGATGGAGGATGGATGGATGGATGATGGATCATGATGGCATGGATGGATGGCTGGATGGAGGTATGGATCATAGAATGGATGGGTGCGGGATGATGGTAATGAAGATGGATGGATGGATGCGATGGTATGGATGGATGGATTGTGTGGTATGAAGGGATAGATGGCGGGATGGATGGATAGAATGGATGGATGCATGGATGGATGGATGCATGGATGGATGGATGGATATGGATGGATGGAATGGAGGATGGATGGATAATGGAATGATGGAGGATGGATGGATGATGGATTGGATGGATGGATGGATGGTGGTATGGATGGATGGAATGGATGGATGGCATGGATGGATGGAGGGATGGATGGGATGGATGGATGGATGGATGGATGGATGGATGATGATGGGATGGATGGATGGATGGATGGATGGATAGCGATGGAATGATTAGATGGATGATGGCTGAATGGGTGGATGAATGGATGGATGCATGGATGGATTGGATGGATGCGCATGGAATGCGATGATGGATGGATGGATGGATATGGGGATGGATGTGGATGAGATGGAGTGAGGATGGATGGCATGATGGGATGAGGTGGATGGCATGGATGCGTGGATGGATGGATTAGATGGAGGATTGATGATGGATGGATGGATGATGGCATGGATGGATGGATGGATGGATGGATGGATGGGATGGATGGAATGGTAGTAGGATAGAGAGTATGATGGTGATGGGTGGATGAATGGGATGTGCATGAATGGATGGATGCATGGATGGATGGATAGCATGGATGATTGGATGGATGATGCAGATGGATGGATGGCATGGATGGATGGATGTGATGGATAGATGGATGGTGGATGGATGGATGGATGGATGGATGAGCTATGGATGGATGGTGCGATGGAGATGGATGGATGGATGGATGGATGATGGATTGGATGGATGGACTGGATGGATGGATGGATGTGGATGGATGGATGGATGGCATGGATTAGATGGATGGGAATGGGACTGATGGATGGATGATGGATGGGTGGAATGAAGGGTGGATATATGCGATGTGATGCATGGATGGGATAGTATGCATGGATGGATGGATGGGATGGGATGGTATGGATGGATGGATGGATGGATGGGAGGATGGCATGGTGGTATGGATGGATGGATGGATGGATGGATGGGATGGTATGGATGGGTGGATGATGGATGAGTGATGGGCATGGATGGTATGGATGCGTATGGATGGATGTGTGGATGGATCGGATAGATGGATGGATGGATGGGACTGGGTGGGGGGATGATGGATAGTATGGTATGGAGGATGATGAATGGTATGGATGGATAGATGGTATGATGAATGGATGAATGGATGGAGGGTCATGGATGGATGGATAGTCATGGAATGGATGGATGGGTGGATGGATGCGATAGCATGGATGGATGGATGATGCATGGATGGATGGATGAATGGATGATGGATGGCATGAATGGATTGAATGGATGCGATGGATGGATGGATGGATGGTATGGATGGATGGATGGAGGATGGAGTGATGGTATGGATGATAAGATGGATTGGATGGTGGATGAATGGATGGATGATGGATGGAATGGAGGTATGGATGGATTAAGATGGATGGATGGATGGCGGGGATGGATGGATGGTATGGATGGATGGATGGATGGAATGGATGGATAGATGGTTAGGTCATATGAATACACTCACGCACGCACGCACGTACGCCCATATATTGATAAACGCACGCACGCTCTAAATGATCAAACGCAATAAGGTTTTCTCTCTGATATCTCCCGGAGCTTTTATCGCAATGGATTACTAGCCGAGAAATGGCACACACGCTCTCGGGCTTCTTCATCTGCACCTTCCACGATTCAAAAAAAAGAACCATTATTGTGGACACCTCCCTCTTAGCCCAATCATTGCAACCTATTTCCTCGTGTGTAATTCGACTATGTTCGGCTCCCGTGTGTTCTCCGCACCTCGCGTGCGCTCCGGCCTCGTTACTCGCCGTTCTTAATGGCATATCATAACTGAATCCTATCTTACATGTATCCTATCTTACATGTATCTTATCATACCTGTATCTGTACTCGTATCCTCGCGTCTTCTTCGCCGTCTCCGTCGCGTCGGCATTGTCGCGGCTGAAGAGAGAGCCGGTCGACGTACCGGTCCGCTTGAAGCTCAAGTTGCTGCTCCTGTCTCCGCTGCCTCTCAGTCCACCGCTGGCGATTGGTCCGTATCTTGTCGTCGTGAAGAACTCCGGGGCTCCGGTCGCCCGCTGCCGTTGGCCGTACCCTCCTCCGGAGCCTCCCCCGCCGTGGCTTCCTCCCCCGAAGCCGCCGCCGCCGCCGCTGCTGACGAAGATACCGCCGCCGATGGCGCCACCGGTGCTTCCGCCGTAGCTGCCACCGCCGCCGCCGCCGCCGCCGCCGCTGCTGACGAAGATACCGCCGCCGCTGGCGCCACCGCTGCTTCCGCCGTAGCTACCGGCCTGCCTGACGATGCTGCCACCGCCGCCGCCGCCGTAGCCGCCAGGACTCGTCTGCACTGTCTGCACTTGAACTGTCTGACGCTGGTTCTGGTATCCTTCCGCTTGGCACGACCCGACGAAGGCCAGCAGTAGCAGGAACGCACGCGTGGACTTCATTCTACATTCAGAACAACAACAACGACGAGAGATGAGCAGCGAAAAAGGCAAACAACGCAAATTCGAGAAAACTAGAGGGGAACGCCAGTGGATGAGCAAGGAGAGATGAACACCACAAAGCGAACAACGAGAGACGAACAACACCGGATGAACAAGAAAAAACGAGCAACACAAGAAGAACAACGAGAGATAAACAACACAGGATGAACAACGAGAGATGAACAACACATGATGAACAATGAGAGAGGGGCAATACAATGTGAGCCACGTGGTCGGAATAACGTAACGTAACCAATGAGAGATGAACAACACAGGATAAACAATGAGAGATCAACAACACAGGATAAACAATGAGAGATGAACAACACAGGATGAACAATGAGAGATAAACAACATAAAATGAACAACGAGAGATGAACAACACAGGATGAACAATGAGAGATAAACAACACAGGATAAACAATGAGAGATCAACAACACAGGATGAACAACACAAGGTGAACAACGGAAGGCACGTGCTGGACAACATCGGCTTAATGCCAGAAGAAGTTAAACAATAAGAGGCGCAAACAACTGTAAACAAGAGTAGGCAAGCAACGTTATGTAAATAACACGAATAAATAGACGCGACGTACACAACACGATAAATAACATTAAGAAGTAAACAACGTATGACGTAGACAGTAGCATGACGTAAACAACAAAACAGCTCTACCTTGGAGTCGTTGTAGATAAGGTTGATCGTGTGTTCAGGCAGGAGATCTTCGCGTGCGTTCACCTGCTCCAGCGCCATCACCGCGGCCTTCATGAACGCCCGGCCGCCGTGCCACGTGCCCGTGAATGGGAACATGCCGAGAACGTTCAGGTCCTTGGCCTTCTTCCTTGTCGGTGCCGCCGAGCTCGTCGACGACACCAGGAGCACGCTGGTGATGAACACACCAAGGAACCGTCGACGTCGTCGAGCGATCTTCATCGTGTGTTCTCGCATGCGTTGTCTAGATGTTCGTGCGACGTTCCCTCGAGTTGTTCGTGTCGTTCTCTGGCGCTTCGCCGCGTTATCAAACTGTTTGTGGTGTTTTCTGGATGTTGGGTATTGTTCTCTCTGAGTGTTCGCGATGTTCCTTATCTGTTCATGTCATTCGTTATCTCATTTTCGGTGTGCTTTAGAGGCATTTCTCTAGCATTTCATTATTTTCGCTGTATGTTCACGTATGTTATATGTATTATAGTCGGCGTATTCTTCTTGCATAAACGGCATTCTTCTTTCGTTGTTCGTAATGTTTTTCGCCGTTCTCTATCCGGTCTCTGTCGGCGCGTGCATGTCGGCTGCCGGCGCTTGCACGCGTGCTTGCTGCTTGCCTGACTGCAGTCAGCATCTGTTGTGTCGCAAACAAGCGCGCGCGACGAGCTACGTGGGCAATGGGTAACGTAGGCTCCACCCCTCGCCACCGCCTACCGCGCATGCGCCGATTAACGCGACACAAGTGACATCATCGCGCTGCCCACAAGGTATCTAGATACGATGGGCTAACGTCGCCCACACACATGCGCGTGCACACGTGCATGAATATGCGCACCCGCACACACAGACACACACAACGCGCGCACCCAGACATACACAGACACCACAGCACACACCCTGCACACACAGACAGACACACCCGCACTACCAGACACAACACCAGACACACACAACACACACACAACACACCACACCACCGACACACACCCGCACACGACAGACACACACAACGCACACCACAGACACACAAGACACCGGCACACCCCGCAAACACAGGCAGACACATGCACCCGACACAGAGCCCACACAGGCGCGCGGCCACACACAGACGCACTACACACACACACGACGCACACAGACACGCGCACGCGCCGCGCACGTGCGCACACACAAGAACACACACAGCCCGCACACAGACACAACAGACACACACAGACCCGCACACAACCCCGCACACAACAGACACAATACACACGCAGCACAGACACACACAGACACACCACAGACACACACACACACCCACACACACAGACACACACACCCGCACAAACAGAACACACACGAGACTACACACAGCCCCGCACACAGACCACCCATATCGCCACACGCACGCGCATGCGCACAACGACCTAGACACAGTCCCCCTGCTACAACAGCAGACAACACAGCCGCACACAGACACCGCCACACCAGACACACACACACCCGCAACACAGACACACACAGACACACACACACTCCGGCACACAGACCACAGCACAGACCCAACACACAATCCCGCACACACAGACACACAAAACCCGCACACAGACACAATCACACACACACACACACACCCGCACACAGACACACACGCGCGCGCACGCGCACACACAGACACACACACACACACACACATCCAGCCCACCCCCGCACACAGACACACAGCGGCGCGCGCAACGCGCACAGCGGACAGACACACACGACCCGCAGCACCAAGACACACACGCGCGCGCACGCGCCGAGCAACCAGCATGACATCACACACACAGCACACACCACACACACAGCACACACCACCCGGCCGCAACACAGACACCGACAGCGGCGCGCGGCACGACGCACAGCCCAGCAGACACAAGCCCGCGCACACACACACCACACACACACACACCCGCACACAGCACCAACTACGCGCAGCGCCAACGCACACAAACACACACCACACACACACACAACACACACCACCACACACCCCACACAGACACACACGCGCTGCCGCACGCGCCACACACAGACATGCGACACACACACAACAGCACCACACACACCACGCAACACACACACCACACACACACAACGCGGCGGCGGCGCGCACGCACCAGCAGCACGCCGCCGCCCCGGAACGCACGGGCCAGGCCGCCAGCGAACACACACCAACACGCACACAGAACACACACGCGCGGCGCGCTGCAGCACACAGACACAGCAACGGGCCGCCGCGCACACACACACACCCACGGCACGGACACACACACACACCACAACACGGCAACGCACATACACACAACACAGGGACACACACACACACACACACACAACAGCAGGCTGCCGTGGACATAGGGCTTCCGTAAATACGAACCGCAGAAGACTAACACCTTTAATCTCTAATTAATTGTCCCTTCGCTCAAAAATAAAGCAATCAACAAACAATCAACACGCTAGATCGCAAACTATTACAATAAAACATTACGACCACCCGAAAACGTAATAACGGCTGGCGTAACATAGAACGCACGCCGTTCGCGATTTCTGCTGCCCTGCCAGCCGTGCCTTCATTTCCTCTTCGGACCTCCGCCGTTAACTTCGCACTCAAAGCCTCCTGCTTGTATACATTAATAGCCGTGGTTGTTTTCAAGTCAGGCCTCGGGCAATAGTATGCCAGTCTTTGGACAATCGACTCAACAAAAGGCATCAGGCATACGATGCATGCGCGCTGTTGGCGACTGTACGTCTAGGAATACCCTGATCTGCTTATGTCCGTCCTGCCAAATGTGAAAACAACCATTACGATGATACCGATAATTGTTTCAGTTACGATTATATGATTGTTTTTCATTTGCAAGAATCCCTGCACATACTCGCTTATCTTTTCGCATTTGTTTTGTAAGAAGAATGCGCCTTGCGCCTGAGCCTCGCCATTTTAGAAGGTTTGTATGTGTGGTTTAGGGCAACAGGAAGCCATGCATTTGTTCGAAACAAGACCTCATTCTCATAACACAGTTCGTCTTAAACAATGCAAGTAATTTTCTCGTAAGACCGGACTCTTATACAACTGCGTATATGAGAAACCTAGAAGACTTTACGCTAATGTTTTCCACATCAGCAGCTTACGAGATAAAAGTCAGACTTAAGTTTAAGTGTTGTTTCTGACAACCGTGGCTCTCATGGTTGCGGAAAAAATCTGGGGCATTCCCACGCATGGCCTCTCCGCGTAACGACTTGAACAGGCCTCTTTGAAAGTCGGAGCGGTCCAAATATGGCGACGGCAGCTGCCAAGCTAGAGGCGCAATGGCGCCTCATGGGCATGCCCACGATTCCCACGAGAATGCCCTATAGTGTAAAACTATTATTATTATTTTCTAAAGTGGATGCACGGCATTAGCCGGTGCTTCTGAGTTGCGCGTGTCCAGCAACCTGGGAGCATAGGGATCGAATGGCCAAAGAATTTTGCGGCCAGGATGTGTGCGTTGCCGCAGGTAGTGCGATTTTCTGCACTTGCTTGGGCAGTGCTGGTGGCCAGCGGAGTTCATTAAGGTTCTTCTGCAAAAACCGCATTCTTTATATGAGGGCCAAGCTCCACACGCACTGTTATTATATTATAACTATAATAATATATTAATAATTTAATATATATATTATTATTATTATTATTATTGATTAATATTATTATTATTTGTTATTATTATTATTATTATTATTGAATATTATATTATCAAAATGTAAAAATATTTGCCGTACGCTCTACTCTAT